GCAAGCAGACCCGCGCGCCTGAGTCTCCCGCGTGGGAAGTCATGTCCACCCGCAGCCCCGGGACGCTGGCGCTGGCCGTGGAAACAGGACCGGAGACCAGCGCGCAGGCAGCCTGGCCGGAGCCCGAGCGGAGCCGGAGCCGACCGCGGCCGCCCAGCCGCCCCTCCCCCACTGCAGCTGGGTTTCTGGAACCTTCTCTTCGCCTTTAGGGGCAGCTGCTCCCCACAAGCGCCGTTGGGGCTCTGGCGCCTCCGGCTTGTGGCAGCCTTTCGGTGCCCCGCGGGGGCGGAGGCAGGCCCGGTGCCAGGCCGGTGCCCCATGCGCCGCGGGCGCAGCCCCCCCCTTCCTCGCTGCGCACTGAGCTCCGCGCGTGGCCGCGTGCCCACTCTCGCTCCAGCGCGGGCCGCGGGGGCTGAGCTCGGCCTGGACGGCGAGAGCCCGGCCAGAGCTGGGCCTCACGCGCCCCTCCTCTCCCCGCAGGGGGCAGGCCACCGCCCAGGGGAGGCAGCCTCGAGGCCACCGCCCGCGTAAGTCTCGCTTCTCCTGTGGGGGCGTCCGCGGGCCAGCTCCGTGGCTGCTCCTCGAGAGCCCACCGGCCGCCCTCGCCGGGGCTCCAGGGGGACGCTGGGCAGGGCGCTCGGGTCCCCGCCTGGGTCCCTCCGTGTTCGCACGCCCCCTCTTTCCTGGGGAGCTGCAGCCCTCCATGTGGCCGGGGGCGGGAGCGAATGAAGTGAATGAAGCCCGTGGGGCGGGGCCCCTCCTAGCGCCGCCTGCAGCCCGGGCACCCGCCCTTCCCTCGCCCCTGGCCGAGGTGGGCTTGCTGCAGCCGGGACCCCGCTGGCACTGGGCGGGGCGGTGCCTGGCCCCGGCCTGGGGCTTGCTGAGGGGCTTCCGGAGACCGAGTCAGCTTGGGCACCGAGGGGGAGGGGCACCCTCTGCCGGAGTCGTGGGGCTCTGCAGGGCCCGGGATCGAGCCTGGGTCGGGCTCCGGGAGAGGCGCTGGCCCGGCTGCCCCGCGCTCGCTGCTCGCCAACGGGGCTGCCCTTGGCCCTCTCGCAGGGCGCGGGGGCTGCCCTTACAGCCCCGTGGTCCCGCCCTCCTGAAGCCCGAGGTCGCTCCTTGAGGTGATCCCCAAGCAGCAAGGGTCCCCAGGACCCCCAGCCCGGCCCCTTAGTGTGACAGGAGGGGCCCAGGGCCCCGCACTCAGGCTGCCGCGTCCTCCCCACCGCGGTGCAGGGTCAGCTCTAGCGCTCTCCCTCCCTCCCGCCCGCAGGCAAAGAGGCTCCGGCCGCTGTCCCTCAGGTAAGTGCGCGGCCGGCCTGACCCTGACCCCGGACGTCCAGCCTGCGGCTCGGGCGGCTGCGCCCTCCGCCC